GAAAAAGACCAAAAATACACATTGGGAGGGTTAAGAAATGCCATCCAAATTGCACTAGCTTGCTTCAAGTGGTTCTAGTCCCCCCCCCCCCCCCCCCCCCCCCAACAAAAAAGGGAAAAAACCAATGTTTCTTGTGTTGGGTTGTATGCCCATATAGTATAATAATTATGTTGATGTAAAACTAATAATAATAATTTTTTAATATTGAATAAAATTATGTTTAATCTATTTATTGTATTTATTTACTGAACATGCAAAATTAAAATGCCCGTGATCACTTGTGACAATATGAGTTGAGCACTTGCATTGAGAAGTACAGTGAGACACAACTTAAATTTGGATCATAAATAATTTGTTCACAACCAATGTATAAAGGTTGACACCTTGTACTAGAATGTTGTAGTGTTGACCGATTCACTATTTCGGTTTGTGATTTTTCGTTATCACAGAAATAGTTAAAGATGATACTAGTACACTTGAAGTGTATTGAATGGATCACGTGTCGAATTTAATTCTATAGCATGACCTTGCAGAGAATTAAATTCCACTTGACCGCTGTGTATTTCATCTGAATCATTTGACAGGATTATGTATATCTTTTCGCGATTTTAATTATTTTTTGATTCATCAGTGAGTGAGATCAATTTGATTGGTCAAATATTTCGATGAGTTGGGAACTTTATAATAAGCGGAGTAGAGAACATGAATTCGTGTTGAGAACGCCCTGAAAATGGGTAGAGTGACCACTTGAGTATTTTCTGTTGAACGATTAAAATCTGAGCTTAGTGTTTAACTAGGGTAAATTTCAACTTGTGATTTGTTTACAGGATCGTTGAAGAAAAACTTAAGTTAGTGAGAATAATTAGAGGGCAAAACAGTCATTTATGCTTGTACCTAATTATCGGATCTCGGACGGGGATAAAATACATATACGACAAGTCAGAGGAAAGTATTACAGATTTATTGGTTTCTGTGATTTTATATATTTCGAGAGTTCAGTTTTTTGCCTTTAGTGAAAAAAGCAAAGACTAATAATTAGATTGGATGGTCTAGGATCAACTAAACATGATCTAATTATTGGAGCTTGGAAAATATATGTCCGATCAAATCCCTATGGTAGCTCAATAAAGTATTGGAACTTAATTACGATAATTATAATAGTTTTGGGCTTAATTATAATTACAATAAAGTTTTGTACTTGGTTGTAATTACTATGAAAGTTATAAACTTAATTGTAATTGTTTATAAACTTAATTGTAATTGTAATTGAAGTTCTAGGACTACACATACAATTAAATGTAAACTAATTAGAATTGGACTTAAATTAGAACTCTTACTTGAGTTTTAATTAGAACTCTTGTTTGAATGTGGAATTATATTTGTACTAGAATTCTATCATCTTTTTCTCTATAAATGGAGACTAGATGGATAAAAAAAAAAACTACAACATTCATAATTCCATAAGATTCAAAATTGTAGAGAGAAAATATATTATTTTCTTGTAGTCCAAAATTCAAGAATTAGTTTCTGGATTAATTGAAAGAAGATGTCCACACACTGGTATAGTTTTTGCATTGGAGAATATCAGGTTTGAAGATTTGAAGCATCAATATTCTTGCAATTAAAGAAGACAGAAGTTCGCGGATCAAAGTTAATTAAAGGTCGATCATTGAACTTAGGTAAAAAATTCAAATCCTTTTATTTTGATATGACATACACGTGAACATCTAGACGATCTTACTTATTGAATTAAAGAAAATTTTAATTTCTGATTAATTTCGCTTCTGCATTCCAACAACTGGTATCAGAGCAATCTCGATCGTTCATGTGCTTTTTATTTTTGAATCTTGATTGCATGCTCTAGTTGAGCGATGTCTAGAAAAATTTTATATGTTGATTGAATGATTGGATTATTTTAAACTGTGAACCAATTATTTGTGGTCAGTCTTTGATGTAATTTGTTATTTCGAGTCTGTAACAAGACATGTGGATTACGACTCCATCATCTTGATTTAATTTTTTATACAATTAGATTCAAAATTTGTGAGCCTACGGGACATAGGAATCTATGTAATTCTTGTAATTTTTGGATCTTGTAAGTTAATTGAAAATTGAAAAAGAAGTCTTGAAGATGGAGGACAAAAAAATTCAATGATTTGTATCAATTTTTTTTTTTCCAGACAGTTGACTGTCTGCACAGGCAGACATTTTTTATGTCTGCACGAAGAGACAAATTCATCTGTAATTTATTTTTTTCCAAAAAAAGGGATTTTTTGAAAGTAATTACAGGTGTAGTGGCAGAGACTTCCTTACTAATTTTGGAGAAGACATGGTTAGATGCTTGGAGATTTTGGGTTGGAGATTTAGATTAAGTTTTGGACTTTGGTCCAATTTTTTTTTATTTCTTGAGTCTTTTGGGGCCACAAATAATTGTTATTTTTATCGCTTTATGAATGTTTTTTAAATTGTTGTTTGAAATATTGTCATTCTTGATATCATGACATATAAATTTATTTACGACATCGCTCGTAATACTATGAATATGATGTATATCATTTAATACAAATTTTTCTTTGATTAATTTAATTTAAATTAAATTTTTCTGAATAAAAAAATCATAATAATTAAACTGTATATTAATTTAATTAATATGAATAGTTGGTAATTGGTTCAATTAAAATTCATTATTTTAAAATATTGAGTGAGAGAGGGTATTTATTTAAATAAAAACCCACGATTTCCTTTGGTCAATCCATAAGCAAAGTAATGCGCTTGCATCATGTTGGTAATGCAACGGACTCCCTATAGGAGGGCCACGTGGTTCAAGTTGCTTGATTGAATTTCTTTATGATAAAATCGTCTAAATAGAATATGATTTATGATCATCCTATAAATAGCGAAATTATTTTCAAGTGTTTAGAGATTGAGACAAAGGTTGTACACTCAAATCGAAATTATCTATAAACCTCCTATAGAGGCTCTCATCTATAATTTTGGTGACCAAATAAAACGATACTAGACTTAATATAGACATTTGTTGTCAGATATAATTTGTTTAAGTGGGAGGGTCCCAGTTTGATTAGCGGAAACATTTACTTTTCCTATAGAGAGGCATGTTGGATCACAGGGATCAAGTTATCGTTGCATTATTATAGTTAGATGGATCTACACATGCATTCATGTATCATATGCTAAATTGTCATTCGCTGCTCAATTTTAATATGCAATAAATTGAATTTTTCTGCAAAATGTCTCTCAACGCTTTTTCCATTATTCTAAAACAAAACTAACTTCTCGGGGATAATTATGTGGATTGTAAACGTAATTTGATGTTTGTGCTTATTGCTGAAAAACTTGATTTTGTGCTCGAAGAAGAATGTTTCGAGGAACCTATTGAGACTACAGGCAAGTCCAAGAGGGCTACGTATGATAAGTGGAACGCTGCTGACAAGATGGCTCGCTGTTACATTTTGGCATCCATGTCAAACGTGTTACAGCAAAAGCTTGAAAGTCAGGAAATTTCTTATGACATACTAGAAAGTCTGAAGGGCATGTTTGGACATCAAAGTAGGAGGGCTCGCTTTGAGGCCATTCGTACCTTACAGAACATCCGCATGAAACCCGGAACGCTTGTGAAGGATCATATGTTGACTATGATTGCACACTTCAACGTGGCGGAGAATCTGGGTGCAACTATTGATCAGAAAACTCAAGTTGATATGGTATTAAATTTTATTGTGGACTATCACTTGCACAAGATGAATATACTAGTAACTGAGTTGATGAATTGGTTGCAAAATGTGGAAAGTGGTCTCAAGGGTAAGGATGGCCATGTTCATGCGGCAATTGCTAGCTCCTCTGGCTCAAAGTCGAAAGGCCAAATTGGAAAGAAGAGGAAGAGTTCTAACAAGAAGCCAGGAAGCAACAAAAAGCTCAAATCAGATGGAATGTCGAAAGGCAAGTGTTTCCTCTGTGGTCGCAAAGGACACTGGAAGAAAGACTGCCTGATGCACTAGCTAAAAAACTGGGTGTTGGTGAGTTTTTTATTGCTGAGTCATGTTTGGTGGTTGATTCTATAAATTCCTGAGTTGTAGACTTTGGAGCCACTAATCATATATGCATGTCTATGCAGGTGCTTCAGGAGAGTAGAAGATTCTGTAAAGGTCAGTTTAAAATTACTGTTGGCACAGAAGCTATAGTTTAGCAAGAGCAGTAGGAGTAGTCTACTTTTATTTCAATAGTGGCAGGTGTTTAATTCTTAAAGACTGTTATTATGTCCTACGGATGAAGTGGAATTTGATTTCTGTTTCTTGTTTAATAGGATAGGGTTATTCAGTAAACTCTGTGCTTTATATTTTAAAGAATAAAGCTCCTACTTGTGTTGGATATTTGGTGAATGGTCTTTATATTTTAAATTGTGCCACAAATGAAATAAATGTTACTTCTACAAACCATGAACGAATATCTAACCATACTAATGATACTTATTTATGGCATCTTAGACTTGGACATATTAGCTTTAACAGGATACAAAGATTGGCTAGAGATGGTCCACTTAACACATTTAAGATCGAACCATTGCCAATTTGTGATTCTTGTTTGAAGGGTAAAATGACCAAGAGATCCTTTCTAGCAAAAGGACATCGAGCCAAAGAAGTATTAGAACTAGTTTATTTTGATGTATGCGGACCCAAGAACACACATGCGAGAAGGGGTTATGAGTATTTTATCACTTTTAACGATGATTACTCTAGATTCGGACACATCTACCCAATGACTCGAAAGTCAGATGCTTTTAAAAAATCAAAGAGTAACGGGTTGAGGTCGAGAAACATTTGGGTAAGAGTATTAAGACACTTCGATCAGATTGAGGTGGTGAATATCTCTCGAGAAAATTCAGGAACTACCTGATAGAAAATGGTATTATTTCTCAACTGAGTGCACCCGGTACACCCCAATAGAATGACATTTCAGAAAAGAGAAACAGGACATTGTTAGATATGGTTAGATTAATGATGAGTTTGCAACTCTACCTATGTCATTTTGGGGATATGCACTGGAAACACCAGCATACGTTCTTAAACTTAGTTCCTTCTAAGTCGGTTCCCAAGACTCTCCTAGAATTATGGAATGGGCGCAAGCTTAGCTTACATTATATTCAAATTTGGGGATGTCCGGCTCATGTGCTGAAAGGGAAGACAGAGAAGTTGGAGTCTAAATCAGAGATATGCCTATTTGTGCGATACCCCAAAGGTACCAGGGGATATTATTTTTATAGTCCTCTAGATAGGAAAGTCTTTGTTAGCACAAATGCCACTTTCCTAGAGGATAAGTATATTAATGAACATCAGTTCAAAAGTAAGGTTGTGTTGGAAGAAATGAGTGGGAGCAATTCTACCTCATCGATTCCTGAAACACAATCTCATAACAGACAACCCTTGGTGTTAGATATACCTAAACAATGTGTTTTGAGTGGGAGAGATGAGTCATCCAATTCCATGGATCAAGTAAACGTTGAAGGTATTGAGGAGGTAATGAAACCACCTACTGGTGATACCAACATTGATACAAACGTTACAATTCCAAATGATGCCATGGTCTAGGATCCACCGTCCCTTAGACAAAGTCAGAGGGTTATCAGACCACCTTTTATGTACTTGTTAGTTGGAGAGTCCAATAAGGTGATCTCCACAGCACAAGTTGATGACCTGACTTCATATAAGGAGGCCATGAATGATGTGGATGCAGATTTATCGCAACAAGCTATTAATACTGAAATGGAATCTATGCATTCCAATCAGGTCTGGAAACTTGTAGATGCACCAGAAGGGATAAAACACATCGGGTGCAAGTGGGTCTATAAGAGAAAGAGATGAGCATACGGGAAAGTGGAAACTTTTAAAGCAAGGCTAGTGGCTAAGGGTTTCACCCAACGAGAAGGCATCGATTACGAGGAGACCTTTTTGCATGTGGCTATGCTTAAGTCTATCCAGATTCTTTTATCCATTGCAGCTCATTTTGATTATGAGGTGTGGCAAATGGATTTCAAGACAACCTTTTTGAATGCCATCTTGAGGAATGCATCATATGGTGCAACCAAATGGATTCATAGAACGTGGTCATGAATACAAAGTCTGCAAGCTTCAGCGGTCCATTTATGGGTTAAAGCAAGTATCAGGATCTTGGAACAAGAGATTCCACGAAGTGATTAAGACGTATGATTTTGATCAGAACTTTGACAAACCCTGTGTCTATAAGAAGATACAGGAGAAAATTATAATTTTCCTCGTGCTATATGTGGATGATATTCTACTCATTGAAAATGATGTTGGAGCATTATCGTCTATGAAAGCGTGGTTGGCCCAACAGTTTCATATGAAGGACTTAGGAGAAGCTAGCCATGTTCTAGGTATTTAGATCTTAACAGATCGAAAGAACAAGCAGATAGCTCTATCCCAAGCTTCATATATTGATAAGATACTTGTCAGATTTTCCATGCAAGATTCCAAGAAAGGTAATTTACCTTTCAGGCATGGAATTCAACTCTCTAAGGATCAGTTCCCTAAGATTCCTGAAGAGGTAGAAGGCATGAGTAGGATACCTTATGCATCGGTAGTTGGTAGTCTCATGTATGCTATACTATGCACTAGACCTGACATTTGTTATGCTGTTGGTATGGTGAGTTGATATCAATCTAACCCGGGACTGGAACACTTGGTGGCTGTAAAGTATATCTTGAAGTACCTTCGAAGGACAAGGAATTACATGCTAGTTTACTCATCACCAGATCTTATTCCAGTGAGTTATACAGATTCAGGCTTCCAAGCTAATAAGGACTCTCGCAAGTCTACATCAGGATCACTGTTTATACTTGGTGGTGGGGCCATTATTTGGAGAAGTATCAAACAATCCTATATTGCTGATTTCACCATCAAGGTTGAGTAGGTGGTAGCTTGTGAAGCCACTAAGAAAACAGTGTGGTTCAAAAAATTTCTAACAGATATTGAGGTGGTGCCTACATCTGCTCAACCCCTGACACTGTACTGTGATAACAGTAGGGTAGTGGCAAATGCTAAAGAATCAAGGAGTCATCAAAGGGGTAAACATATTGAACGAAAATATCATCTCTTGAGCGAGATAGTTAATAGAGGAGATGTGATTGTCAATAAAATTGCTATTGGGGATAACCTCACAGATCCATTTACAAAGAGCCTATCGGCCAAGTTTTTAATGGATATGTGCAAGGCATGTGATTACATGACATGACACATATACTCTAGGGTAAGTGGGAGATTTGTTGGGTTGTGTGCCCATATAGTATAATTTTGCTTATGTAAAAATAACAATAATAATTTTTAATATTGAATAAAATTATGTTTAATCTATTTATTGCATTTATTTATTAAGCATGCGAAATTAAAATGCCTGTGATTACTTATGATAATATTAGTTGAGTACTTGCGTTGAGAAGTACAGTGAGACACAACTTATATTTTGATCATAAATAATTTGTTAACAACCAATGTTTAAGGGTTGGCACATTGTACTGGAAGGTTGTAGTGTAGACCGATTCACTATTCAGGTTTGTGATTTGTCGTTATCACAGAAATAGTTAAAGGTGACACTAGTACACTTGGAGTGTATTGAACGGACCACGTGTCGAATTTAATTCTATAGCATGATCGTGTCCTTTGACAGGATTATATATATATATATATATATATATATATATATATCTTTTCATGATTTTAATTGTTCTTTGATTCATCAATGGGTGAGATTAATTTGATTGGTCAAATATCTCGATAAGTTGGGAACTTGAGAATAAGCGGGGTAGAGAATATGAATTCTTGTCGGAAATCGTCGCCCTGAAAATGGATAGAGTGACTAGTTGAATATTTTCTGTTGAACGGTCAAAATTTGAGCTCAGTGTTTAACGACGGCTAAACTTCAACTTCTGTGATTTGTTCACAAGGCCGTTGAAGAAAATGAAACATAAGTTAGTGAGGATAAATAGAGGGGCAAAATGGTCATTTATGCTCGTGCCTAATTATCGGATCTCGGATGGGGATAAAATACATATACGGTAGGTCAGAGGAAAGTATTACAGATTTATTGACTTCTGTGATTTTATATATTCCGAGAGTTCAGTCTTTTGCCTTTAGTGAAAAAAGCAAAGACTAATAATTAGATTGAGTGGTCTAGGGTCGACTAGACAGGATCTAATTATTGGAGCTTGAAAAATATATGTCTGATCAGGTCCCAGTGGGAGCTCCATAAAGTGTTGGAACTTAATTACAGTAATTATAATAGTTTTGGGCTTAATTATAATTACAATAAAGTTTTGTACTTGGTTGTAATTACTATGAAAGTTATAAACTTAATTGTAATTGAAGTTCTAGGATTATACATGCAATTATATGTAAACTAATTAGAATTGGACTTAAATTAGAACTCCTACTTGAGTTTTAATTAGAACTCTTATTTGAATGTGAAATTTATTTGGACTAGAATTCTATCATCTATTTCTCTATAAATAGAGACTAGATGGATAGAAAAAAAATACAACATTCATAATTTCATAAGATTCAAAATTGTAGAGAGAAAAAGAGAGGGAAAATATATTGTTTTCTTGTATTCCAAAATTTAAGAATTAGTTTCTGGATTAATTGAAAGAAGGTGCCCACACATCGGTGTAGTTTTTGCGTTGAAAAATACCATAGAAGACTTGAATGTTTGAAGCACCAAGATTCTTGCAATTAAAGAAGATGAAAGTTCGTGGATCAGAGTTAATTCAATGTTGATCATTGAACTTAGGTAAAAGATTCGAATCCTTTTATTTTGATATGATATACACGTGAACATCTAGACGATCTTGCTTATTGAATTAAAGAAAATTTTAATTTCTGATTAATTCCGCTTCCGCATTCCAACATCATGAACGGTGCCACCCAAAAAGGTCAGAACCGGGTAAAAAAAAAAAAAAAAAAAAACTAAAAAAAACTCCCAAGCAGGCACTTAAAGTTGGTTTCCCAAAATGTTGAAGTATTTCAATGGAGGGAGTAATTAATTGATGTTTCATGTGTTCTTGGTTGTATGTGATTTTCATCTGTTTGAAAGCTTTCCGTCTTAACTTAAATTTGTTCCAATAGGCATTAGGTTTGTTTTCTTGCCATAGCTCATTATTTACGTGTATAATATAGAAGAAAAAATACGAAAAGGAAGTGAAAAATAAATAAAAGACTCATTATAATATTATTGAATGATGACCATAAACCATAAGCACCCAGCACACATTTATTCCTATATATAACATAATAGGGGTAACAACTCTCTACTATTTTCTGACTAATGTCTATCCAAACATCAAATAACCAATTAACAACTAGCATTTATCTTTTAATTTGAATTTAACAAGCTTATCACTCCAAGATTTTCTAGTCTCTTTATCACTTGTTTGATTCTCATCATTTCTGTTGTCAATTGTGTGACATTTCTAACATCCTCCCACAAATTGTGCTGGGCTGAAGGCTCGGTTTGTTTTTGAAAAACTGAAAGTTGCCATGGACATATGTCTCGTAAAGAAGCCAACAATGATTTTTATCTTCATTCTTGTGAAGTTATGTCATGTGGTATATAAGCATTTCAAATGCATCCCATACTGCATGGGTTGTGTTGAAGCCTTTAATTAGTTTGAGGGTTTCTTCAAACTGTTGAGATGATTCAACCATGAATAAGGGGATCGGACTTTCACAAGGCAATGGATTTATTAATTTTTTTTTCGGGATTTGATGAGTTGTATTTGGTGGGAACAAGGTTTTTCATTGGTGAAATGATCAAATCGTTCTTGAACTCATTTGTCAATTTTGGTATGAAATTTGTTGCTTCTGTTGTTTTGTTTGTATATGGTGGGATGTATTTGATGGATAAGGATTAATGAGAGATGCGTGTAAAAGAGTTGTCAACATTTATGAATAGTAAAGTGATAGCGGAGAAAATGACTTATAGTGTGCCAAGTGCTTACAATGGCTCTAATACCAAGAAAAAAAATACGAAAAGGAAGTGAAAAATAAATGAAAGACTAATTATAACATTATTGAATGATACCATAGGCTATAAACACCTAGCACACATTTATTCCTAGACTAATGTCAATTCAAACATTAAATAACAAATTAACAACTTGCATTTATTTTTTAATTTGAATTTAACAAGCTTATCACTCCAATATTTTCTGGTCTCCTTATCACTTGTTTGATCCTCATCATTTCTGTTGCCAATTGTGTGACATTTCTAACAAATATTAGGTACTCTACGTTGGGGATCACATCTGTGGAGTTATCTTACGGAGTAAAAAAGTTTTAGGTTTGTCTGGTTCTCTCTCTCTTCGTCTGTCTCTCTTGATTCTGATTCTGACTGATACACACCACTAGGCATAGATATTTGCTTATATGATAGTGCATGTTACTGAGAGATTGTCATTTAAGAAAATAATGAGAAATGACCTCAATATTTTTCTCAAATAGAGAAAGTTGCTTTAAGATCCATATTGTGGTTGAGTGAAATATATTATTAAGTCAAATATGTTGTAGTTATGTAAAATAACCATCAGGTATAAAGGGAAATTACTTGAAGTACTACTACTCGAGAGTAGGATTATTAAGTCCACGAAATCAAGTGACGATTCTCATTTTCAGTATTATGCTTTTGACTTGTGTGCTTTTGGTAGTCGGTAGTTATATTTAGCTGGGAATTGTAAAATAATTCCCTCAAGAAAGTAATAAAAATTGAGAAATTGCTTCAGTTGAAGTTCATCAATGTTCTGTATTGGAATTAAATTGTGGTCGGACTTTGAGTAGGATTTGTATTTTTCAAGCTGTTTTGCTGGCTTGAGCTTGAATAATTATGGTATTCAATGCGAATCACATCATATGCACATATTTCTTCTCATAATTTGCATATTCCAAATTATTTTATATATTTTTGAAGTATGATTCAAGATTATATCATGTTTTTGATAGA